GTCAAAAGAAACAGACTGGCAGAGTGAATTAAAAAACAAAATCCAGCAATATGTTGTATACAGGAAACATATTTCACTCAAAAGGAAATCGATAGACTAAAAGTCAAAGGTTGAAAAACAATCCTACATGCAACAGCAACCAGAAAAAAGCAGGTATAGCTATTCTGTTTGCAGACAATATAAACTTCAAACCAACAACAATCAAAAGAGATAAAGAAGGTCACTACATACTAGTCAGGGGAAAACTACAAGACGATGAGATAACAATCCTAAATATGTATGCACCAAATATCGGTGCTCCAAATTATATAAGACAAACCTTAACAGGCATGAAAACCCTATTGTAACACTATTGTAACAGGGGACCTCAATACCCCATTGACACAAAGAGATAGGTCAACTGGACAAAAAATCAACAAGGATATAACGGATCTGAACCAAAGCTGTGAACAAATGGACTTAGTAGATGTATACAGACTGTCCCACCCCACAACATCAGAATACACATTTTTCTCAGCTGCAAATGAGTCTTTCTCTCAATTATACCACATTCTAGCCCATAGAGCATACCTACTGAAAGGCAAAAGAACTGAAATTATCCCATGCATATTACCTGACCACATTGCAATGAAATTGAAAATTAATGACAAAAGGAACTCCAAAAACTCCAGAAACACTTGGAAATTAAACAACAACCTCCCGAACAACCAATGGGTCACAGAAGAAATTAAAGAGGAAATTTAAAAATACCTACAAACAAATGAAAATGTAAATACAACTTACCAGAATCTATGGGATGCAATGAAAGCAGTCCTCAAAGGGAAATTCATAGAGGTGAATTCACACATAAGGAAAACAGAAAGAGAACAAATAAGTAGCCTAATGCTACATCTTAAACTTTTAGAAAAAGAAGAACAAGTGGGGCCCAAAACCCAAAGAAGGGAAGAGATTATTAAGATTAGGGCAGAAATTAATCCAATTGAGACAAAGGAAACAGTGCAAAAAAAAATGACTCAAAGATCTGGTTCTTTGAAAGAATAAATAAAATTGAGAAACCCCTAGCCAATCCTATAAAGAAAAGGAAGGAAAGAACTCAGATTTGTGCAATAAAGAATGAAAGGGATGAAATTACAACAGATTCCACAGAAATTCAGAAGATCATTAATATCTACTTTGAAAATCTTTCCTCCCACAGGGTAGAAAACTCAAAAGAAATGGACAGATTCCGAGATATGTACAAATTACCAAGGTTGAGTCAAGAAGATATCAAATTCCTGAACAACACAATTAATGAGATTGAAAGCAAGATTAAAAACCTACCAACAAATAAAAGCCCAGGTCCTGATAGATTCACAGCAGAATTTTACAAAAAATTCAAAGAAGATTCAATACCAGCACTCCTCAAACTCTTCAATGAAATTGAGAAGGAAGCAATTCTCCCTAACTCATTTCTGGAGGCAAACATCATACTGACACCAAAACCAGAGAAAGACCCAACCAAGAAAGAGAACTACACACCAATCTCCCTAATGAATATAGATGCAAAGATACTCAATAAAATGCTAGCAAATAGAATGTAGTAAATTATCAAGAATATCATACATCATGACC